CCCCCCCCCCCCCCCCCCATTCGATCCGGCAGATTCGCCTCATGATCGGCCTCCTGATTCTGGTGTTCCTGGCCTTCTTCTTCTGTGCGTGTATCTCCCTCATTTGGCCTCGCGCTCGGGCCCCGAGCCGGCGACGCGCAGGTGTCAGGCCACCGCCGCGGCCGGGGCCCGGGAAAAGATCGCATGCTGCCACACCTGTGATGCATCATACTGACACCATACGCCGGCCTTCACTCTCTGTCCAACTGAAACGCCCCTCCGCGTTTTGTCCCCTGCCTCCCCCTGCCTGCATGTCGCCCCCCCCTCCCCCTCCCCCTGCACTTCCCCCTCCGCCCCCCTTCCGGTCTGGTCTTCGTGGCCGAATTGTTGCCCCAAAGGGATGGTGTTTGGATAGAGACGGGTGATCGTCGTGTTGCCGTCGGACTTAATCCAAATAAACACACACTTAATCGGACGGATTACGTTCTGAGGCCATTACGGAGAGGGTCAACAGCACACGCGCGTTTCTCGGTCAGTGCGGCTGTGCGCGGCCGTGTGTGTCTGTGCTTGCCGGTGTGGAGGCCGTGCGAGGCGGAACCTTGCGCGGGCCCGCCGGAAACACGGCAATGCCTCTGCCGGGGCGGTTGGCGCGGGTCCCTCGTCTGTACCCGCCTTTCTGGGCGAGGAGAAGTGGGTCTCCTTTTGAGCCGGGCCAACATTCTCCGGCAATGTGGTTCACCCGTCAGCGCCCTTCTGTCCTCTGTCTGTCTGTCTCTCCCTCTCTCCCCCCCCCTTACTCCTCTCCGCTTCCTCGTTTTTCTGTGCTCTTTTCGTCTTGCCTGGACTTTGCGCGCCCGTTCCTCCCTCCCTCCCCCCCTCCCCTCTCTCTCTCTCTCTCCGCCTCCCTTCCCCCGCCGGTTGATTCCTCGGAGTTATCAACGGGCCCACGGGCATCGCTCCCCCCTTGCCTTCGCCCATCCTCAGCACAGCGATGGACTCGTACAACTCCGATTCGGACCGTGATTCGTCGTCGCGCGGCCGGTCTCCCTCGGCAGGTTCGCGCTCGCGCGCGGACTTCCGCGCCCGGTCCCGGTCTCGGTCAATCTCACCAGCTGGACATCGGTCTTCCGGGCGCTCACGCTTCTCCACAGGCGGAAGTGGCCGCGGTGGCAGCGGTTCCACTGGCTCTAGTACGTCCATCTCCTCCCGTCCCTTGTTCTGGCCCTTCCTCCCAACCTTTCACGGGTCTTCGCGCATCTTGCTGGACCCACCTTCCTTCTTTCGTCTATCGCCTCTCTTCCCCTCTCCCCCTCTCTTCCCCTCTCCCCCTCTCTTCCCCTTTCCCCCCT